AGTGTTAGCTGTCAGTTCACATTCTCACTATTTCAGTATGAAAACCAGTTTGTCAGCTGACTTCATAGAACTTAATTTCCATAACTAGTTCTTCACAAAGTAAGCGTGACTTGTCTTTAATTTCATCAATTTTCTAATTGCATTTTATCATTAGCAGACTTGCTAATTTATTTTAAGTATCACATTATTTTCTTAAGAAAAATGTTGAAGAATGAAAATGCTTTGGAAAAATGCACTTAAAAGTATTTATTACCACTGGGCCTGGTGTAATCCCAGCTACTTGGGAGGCTGAGGCAGAAGGATACAGGTTGGAAGCTGGTGTGCAAAATTCAATGCGACCCTGTCTCAAAAGTGAAAACTAGAAAGGGCTGGTGACATAGTTCAGTGATCCCTGTTGTCAGTCTCCAGCACTGAAAAAACAAAACAAAGTACAAAGATATACATATATATATGTGCATAATCATATATTAAAAACATATGAACACAGAAGTATGTATTTCTTACTCACATATCCAAAAATCATGGTTGTTTGTTTGGATATTTGATTTCTTTATCAAAACTTTCCATGGGACAGTAATATGCTTTTAATATTCTTTTAAAAGGAGTAGCCATTGAAATGCTAAATTCTTATATTCTTTTTTTTCTGGCAATGAAGGGAAATGATTTTAAAGTTTTATTTTCCTTTCTATTTTGAAAGAAGACATTAATAATGCACTTTCATTGCAAAAAATCAACAATACAGATGTAAATAGAATAAAAATAATGAATGCACTCCCTCCGGGTCATCTGCCCAGCCTTCACCACTGCAGCAGCTTTACCACCATGACAACATGATATTTCAAATTTATATAACGGTGATAATATGACATAACTCATTGTAATAATTGCGTTATAAAACAGACAATTATAGAAAACATTGAAACCATATTCTGAAACGTGTTCTGTAAATTGCATAACATGGGCTAGGTCCATACTCTTTCAACAGCAGCTTTTATTTGCAAATCTTACCATTTCAAAATGTAATTTTATTAGAGACTCAATTGGTGCAGTTGGTGAGCATATATTTCACTGCAAATAATAAGACAGCAGAACAGACATACACTTGACCGCAGGAAACCCAGGAAGAACCCTAAGGTGTTAATGTCACAGGAGTCCAGGAGGAGGAGTGCCAGGGTCCGGGTAACTCTGGCAGTGCCTAGGCCTGGAAGCTGGGAGCTCTACAGCGGGTCCCACAGAGAAATGGGGGCTGCCTCCAGTTCTCATCACACTTGGGGATGATGCCGGGCCTGATCCTTCCTTTTCCTTTGCAGGCTCCAAGCTCCTCTTTCTGGCACCGGTGGGGTCCCCTGTTGGCCCACTATGTGGGTTCACTGGGCATAGCGGAGACCTCAGCATGAAGCCACCACACACAGCTGGCTCAGGTTTTCCTTCCAAGTCCAGGGCTGCAGCGCAGGCTGACGGCTCCTCAGGCTTTCATGTTGGCTAAAGGTGGGCTTGCAGTGCGTCCTTCCCAAGGGGTTGTAGCACTGGTCACTTTTTTAATATAAGCCTCAATGCTAGTTTTTTTTCTACCCGAACTACAGAGCAGAGAAGAGTAATGAATCAAATATTATGGATTAAGCGAGAATCTGGCAGTGGATTATGACCCAAGAGTCAGTAATCAGAGCACACCAATGGATCCTTTCCCCAGGTGTGGACTGGCCATAGTGCTACAACATTATTGATGACAATGAAGGGAAAAATATAATGTGGCTCTTCACTGGGTTCCTGGTATCACAGACCCTTGTGTTTTCATGGGAGATCTAGTTTACAGGAGGGAACGTGAATTTTGTAGATTTAGTGGAGGGAAGAAATATTAGCACTTTGTGCTTAATAAATTTACCAAATGAACAATAGTTATCTTCTTTGGAAATCATACCAATGTCCAGCAAGTGAATGATCAAGAGATAGGAAAATTTCCATGTATCACCTAGCAACTGAGCTGTTCATTTCCTAGAACTCAGCTGCACTTATTCCTAAACCTGTTACTCCACTAGCAAATTTATGATAATTATAGACGTAAATTTAAGTGGTAAAGAATAATGGGCAAATAAAGAGTTATGGTTTTTATTAAAACTAGTGTAAATAATTTTGAAGGACTTATAAATGTGACTTAACCAGAGGGGGGAAAAATGTAATTATGAGCAACTACCCTGCAACAAATCAGTTAAATTATTTAAAAATTTATTTAGATTATTCACTCAAATTATTTCAAAAAGTGTTTAGTTCTGAGTAGATTTTTAAAAATTTTATTAAAAAAGCAAGCATTTATTCAAGTAAATTAATAAAATAAAGAACTATTATCTTTATTTGTCATAATTTTACAACAATTACAAATACTTCACAATTTTATTTCAACTCTATTCTTAAAAACTTCTGTGTGATTATTATCAATAAAACACCTAAAGGTTTCATTTATGACTTTTCCAATGTATAGCTCAAAGTGTTACTTATGTCTTAAACAACTGCAGTTATCTGTATCTCATCTAAAGAAAAACCAAATGCTAAGTATTATTACATTGTCTTTAATTTTTAAAAAATTTACTTCATTTTTTCATGACACGTCTGACTCGGCAACCTAAACAAATTGTGTACAGTGATGCCTCAGTTCATGAATGTGTCTGTTCATAGTCTGGTTCACAAACAGGAGCATCCAGCAGTGTTCTGCTTCCATCCTTGAAATCATGTCCAGTGACAACATGACCATGGAATCTTCCATAGAATCCTGGAACTAATTGGGTTCATGAGCTGAGGTCCCTCTGTACACTGAAATTGGTCGACATGTCTGTCTTAAGTCATTTTCTCATTGCTGAAACACAATAACCCACTAACAGGACTGAGAGGAATAGAAGTTTATTTTGACTGAGCTCTGTCCATTGTCTACTGGCTCCATGGCAGAAATAGCATGGAGCAGGAGCTTGGGAGGAAACCTGCTCGCATCATGGTGGACAGGAAGTAGAGGGGGATATCACTTCCAGGTCACACCCCAGGGACCCAACTGCTCTGAACAGACCCCAGGTCCTGACAGCAAGTCAGTTATCTTGCCCCCAAAATCCAATTATCTTCCAAAGCCTGACCTCTAAACCCAACCTCTGAACTCAAGAATCCTTTGGGAGACATGGTGTGGGGAGATAGCAATGTCTTTTAACTTATTCAGTTCTTTCCAAATTATTTATTAAAGGACCCCAGTTCCTGGTCCTTTAGTAGTTTTTCTTTCTAGCCTGCATTTTATTGACTGAGTCACAGTGCTATCATTTCCTATGCTCCTCTTCTCCTGAAAACATCAGAATTCATTACTGGATATCACATTTAATCAGATCCAATTTCAATACTTTTACAAGAATACTTTCTAGTTAACAGTTGCATCTTTCTAAAGGAGGCAGTTATTAACTGGTTGTCTTCATTTTTTGGTATGTATAAGCAAGTATAAACAACCATTCAGCAAATCAATTAGTTCAACAGGAGTTAAAAATGGGGCTACTGTAATTCTTTTATTCGGGCTTCATTTGTAAACCCACATTCTCAACAGGAGACAGATTTCCTCATCAACTCTGGCTATTTGCATATCTTCAGCAACTATGAGGTATGACAAAAATATGATGAGTCTTTAAATAGATACTAAATTTTATTACATTTTAAAAGATACATTGCCATTAATCTGCCTCAAAATACCCCTTTGAATACATTTGTCCCTACATCCTTGACATTTTCTGCAGCAACTGTGGATACTCTCTCTCCTGAGGGCCTTACCACTGCTTCAATATCCTGAATCAATTGAAAATGTAAAACTTTCATAGTCATTTTGAATTTGGAGAAAAGCCAGAATTTATACAGGGCCAAACCTGAGGAATAAAGTGGATGAGGACACATTGTAATGATTTCTTGTAATGTTTTTATTTGACAGAAACTGCCGTAAACATTTTGAATCCAGTAAAGACACTGAGGCAGCCCTGAAAATATACTCGTGAAAGAGGACGTCCAGAGCTGCTTCAGAAAGTGGGAGAAACACTGGGGGTGCAGGGTGGGGGAGCAAGGGGGAGTGGTCAATGTGCAGGGTTAACAGGAATGTGTCTTTTACTGAAACAACATTTAAAAATATATAAACATTCACTGTGTTTTGTGATCATACTGTATTTTTTTGTTTCCCTGGAAATAATATTTGAACAAGAAATACAGATAAATGCTACTTTTCCTTTCATTAATTTGACTATGAGTTGCTTAGTAAATACTCACCACCTGAGAAAGCTTTGGAGTGTGCTTGAGTATGCATGAACGTTTGTGTACCTTTATAAATTAATTGATGCAAGCAAGCTGTAAAGTTGCAGGACACCAGAGTAATTCCCATTGGTCTCCAGTTTTTCCTGGTTCTGGTCACTGGGAAGGAACCTCCTGGAGTTGGCTGATGTGTCCACTCACTCACCACTTCTTTGCAGGACCATAGTGTGCTACATCAATCCCCTTCCCCAGGGCCTCTGTCCTTTCTCTCCCGAGCCCGATGACATCAGCAGGAAAACTGGCATTTAGAGCCCCAAACAGGGTGCCATGGTGTCCTTTGCTGAGTTGGTCCTTAATTCTAACATATGTTCATAGAAAGCTCTAAACTGACCTAAAACAAAAACTAAATACAACTCAAAAGACACTGTGTAATAATTTTATTCTAAGTTAAACAAACACCTGTTCTAAATAAGCTTGCTAATATATATATAAATTGAAATCTACCATAAATTTACTGAGAAAAATAGGCAAGATATGAACTTTGATAATAATATATTTTATTTTTAAAAATATTTTTAAGTATTTATTTTTTTTCTAGACAATTCAGCAAAGTTTTCCTACCTGGAACTTTAGGCAGTTCCACAATATATTTAAACAAAAGAAAAAACTATATTAAAATATTTTTTCCCAGAGAGAATGTTCTCATTCTATGTCAGAGTTCATGACTCAACAATTTATGAACCGCTGTTCTCTTTCCCTTTGCTTCCTGTTTTATTACCAGCTAAGTGAAGTGTTCATATTAACACTTTATGTGAAGATAGTGATTTGGGTTATTTTTCATCTATTTCTTTAAGACTTTAGTTGGTATATTTTCCTGTGATATTCATCCCAATAATGTTAATCTTGCCATTTTCATCTTCGTTATTGTATACATTATGAATAAAACATAAATCATTCTAATTTAACATATTCAGTTCCATTTTTCTGCTACAAGTAGTCATTCATGCACTTTTTAGAACATTATATTCACCTTGTGTAGATCAGCTATCATTCTAAGATCCTCTACTATTTTGCTTAAGGCTTATTTCTTATTAACAGTACATAGTTGGGTTTGTTTACATTTTAATTCCATATAAGAATATTTAATTTTGTAAAAAACAGCACAGAATATAGCAGATTCTCAAGCCTATTTCTCCAGTTAGAAAAAGTGAGGTTGAAATCTGGATTCTGAGGCATTCTTGTTTTAAAGGATTTAAAACTGAGCTCCTTGTGCACTGGTTACATTCCAATAAGGCCTGTGGTGGATCCCAGCCAGATCCCCAGGCCTTGCCAGAGCTGGGGCAGAAATGCTGGAGACGCGGCAGTCCATGGACACCTACTCCCCAGAGAGGAGCAAGTGGCCCAGGGACCAACCTGTGCTCCTATCACTCTGTGAGCACCCAAGAAATAACATTCCCACCACAGCTGCTTGGAGGGAAGGCAAAAGGATCAAACAAATCTGGCTGAAAGAGGGAAGAAAGGCTCCAAGCTTGAGGTAAAGGACAACTATAATTTCCATGCTCAAGCAATTTGTGCTTCTTTCCTGGGGAAAATTCCAGCTCAGAATTCCCATCCAATGGATCCGTTGACTCGGGTGAAATGATCTCCCTGGGTTCCAGTTTGCATCCTGGCTATTGTGTCTCATGAAATTACACATCTGACTCTGAAACAGAATGCAAAATATTTGAAAGAGGTTATAACTGGAAAAAAGTGGAGGAAGTTGGAATTGGAACTTCCAAAAGATCTAAACTCTCATTAGGAGTAAATGAGGCAGAAAACATTTAAATATATATCATTTCAGCTTAGGTAAACAATTTATGTTCAAATATTTGTCACTGCTATAGATTTTCCTTATATTTAAAGCATTTGGTATAATGAGGTTATCTTAAGTTTTACTTATTCATTTCAAAATGAAAAGCTTCAGCATGGAAAGAGCAGACATGGAATATTAAACTGAGACCCATTTCTTACTTGGAAAGTTGCTACAGTGAGGCGGCCAGCAGTAAGTCCATGATAAAGTCCTTGTAAGAGACACATGACAGCCAGGCTTTCAGGATAAGGCAGTGTGAAGGCAGAAGAACAGTGCGGGGCACAGGAGGGCCACCAGCCCAGGGCCCCATGGAGACAGGAGCCCCACAGACAGCAGACACCGCGGATGACTGTGGTCTTGCTGTTTGTGTGGCTTCATGTTCCTGGCTTGCACAAGGGTGAGCGGACTCACATCCGGTTTCACACTGTGACAGTTGTTACAGCAGCCTCCAGGAATTAAGTCAGGTGCTCCAACAGGAAATGCAATCTTTCTGACAGGCTGAGGCAGGAGGACTGCAAGTTGAAACCAACCCTGGGCAATTTGGCACCTTAGTGAGGATCCTGTGTTGAAATAAAAGGTGGGCTGGGGATGGAGCTCAGTGCTAAGGCTCGGCGCTCAAACCCTACCACAGAGAAAAAGAAGGAAAATAAAATCAATTTTCATCAGGCACAGCTTTCTTATCCAATCCTCCCGGCTGCCAGACCTAATTCCTGGTCAGCCCCACCCCAGGCGATGGCCAGCCACACTCAGAAGAGCCCCTCGTTAGGCGCGGCCTCCCTTGCTCCCTGGACTTCTCCATGGAGGACAATGTTACAGCCCTGCCCGCTCCTTGGTCATAAGTCCTGGCTTCCACAGCTGTGCTGTCAGGCATCATCAGCATTCTGAATAGAGTTCTCAGTGTTTTAACAAGTGTTGGATGTTTCTTCTTTAAGTAGAAGGCAGGGGTACTTCTATGATATGCATGATGGCAGAGGACGGAGATGGCCACGGCGAGGGCCATTTCTTTGAGTCTTGAGTTCTGTCACACACTGCAAATGCTGCTTTCTTAAGTTGTTCTATTGTGCCCTAACTGAGCCTTCAGTGGGGCTGCTTCTGTCCGGCCGAGAGCAAAACTAAACAAAAAGAAGTTGGGGAGCTTACCTAGGGAGGCAGGGCACAAAAAGATATGGGATATCATCAAAAGATGTGGTGAATGTCTAAAGTTTTAAAAAATTTGCTATGCAAAAGACACATTGCCATGAGTCCCCCTCAGAATCCTCGTCTCACTCCAAACGCACTCATCCCATTGTCCTTGCCCTTCCTGCAGCAGCTCTGAGTCCTCTTTCCTGAGTGTCTTTAGCCCCAATGTCCTGGCTGCCTGATGTCCTAAATGGATTCAGTTACCTGTCATGTCCATTCTGATTTTGGGTAAGAGCTAGCAGCCTCAGGGGGCCAGATGTTGTGAATAAGGTGGAGGAGGACCACTCTTTTTTCCTTATAAAATGTTAAAAATTGGTACTTAGCCATACAGTGTGGAAATCATGGTCTCCTTGGACTAAACATCCTTTGGGCAGAAAATTCAAAGGGTTTTAGATTTGAAATCATTTCTCAAGAAGAAAACTGTTTTGAAAACCAATTTTTACTACTGAGTTTTGAGGCTACTCTGAACAAAAATGTTTTTGGAAGTTATTTTTTTCTGGGTCCTGACTGGTCATTAGTAACATGTTAGCATTCCCAGAAAATGCATGTGAGAGGCTTGTCATGTTTTATCATCATGAGGATGATGTGGATTTCCCAGTTATAGTTATATGATATCATGTGCATACAGCATAATTAGAATATTAAATAATTGCCTTTTCTGCTTTGGGAAGTAATGTTTAGAATAATGTGGGAGTTTTACAACAAGGTCAAGGAAATTTCTGTCTTCCGTGGCACTCCCCCCAGACTCACAGTAATTGGTTCAGCTCAACTGGGATTCTTAGTGCTTCAGAGAAGGGAACAGTGGAGGAGTGTTTGTCTAGGTTTCCCTCCTCCTGTTAGCAGTGGTGGGAATACAAAGTATACGATAAAACTGTTAGGACGCTGTTGTATTGAGCCGGGTATGCTGGCCTGGCCAGCACTCTGGGAAGCTGAGGCAGGAGGATGGTAAGTTTGAGCCCAGCCTACGAAACCTAGAAATTTAGTCAAATACTGTCCCCCAAACACACAAACAAAAACCTCAAAAAAAGCTGGGGCTGTAACTCATTGCCCTCTTACCTTCTCCAGCACAGGAAAATGAAAGTTAGTGAATCTGAAATTGACGCTCTGAACCCTGGAAATCTTGGAGTGGAGCAGCAGCAGGTCCAGTGCAGGTGGAGACCACACTGCAGACCACAGAAAGCTCTTGCTTCCTCTGTGGCTTTGTTGAGGACCTGGGTGAAGACATGGAGATGCAGCACCCAGCCGTGTGCCTGTCAGGTGTGGGGTCCAGAGCTCCCGGGACATTACAGAGACCTACAGGTCTTCCTGTCTCTCCTGAAGTCCAGCAACTGCTGGACAATGGGCTCAGACAAATGTCAGGTTCCAAGGTCGCATGGAGAGAAGCCTCACTCGGACCCACCCAGAGCAGAGCAGAGTGGCCCCGGTTGGCGTCTGCGACCAAGACGATGCCTGCTTGGTGTTTGGCCATGGCATGTCCCAGACGCAGCCATGCTCTTGGGCATTTTCAACCAGAAAAGTCCTCAAAAGGGCCTGTGTCATCCCTGTCTGTGCACTGCCATAGGGGCTCTGCCCATGCACTGAAATCTCTTAATCTGTAACTGACCATTGCAGACTCAGATCACACAGGACTTTAAACCCCGGGGCAGTGTCCTCCAACTGCCTGGGTGTAACTGGAGGAGAGGTCCTCTTCCGGCAGTGGGCAGACGAATACGCCACTGAAATATCCTCCCTGTGTGTACATGCGCACACTGGAAAATGGGACAAAAATGTGGTCTCCCAAAGATTACTGTTCTTTACTTATTATCACTTTGCTTGCTTTTTACAGCGCTAGAGAGTGAACCCTGGGCCTTCCCGTACTAGGCAAGACCTTTACCCCTGAGGGGCTCCTTCTCTCACGTTCTAAAACGTTCAGGGCAAGTTTCAAAGGATGCAATGATTGTCGGAGTTTCACTCTGGACTCCTGTCTTTGTCCCTTTCTCGTCACTGGAAGAAGCACCTGACACCTCAACTTAAGGAGGAGGCATTCTTTTGGCTCACGTTTCAGTCCCTGGTCAGCTGCCTCCATGAGGGAAGGCTGGAGGGAGGATCTGACAGAGGGGAGCTGCTCACCTCACAGCAGTGGGGAAGCAGGGCACGAGGGGCGAAACTGGCAAGGAATCCACCCTTGCAGGCCACGGCCCCAGGGCCCCTCCAGCCAGGCCTCGCCTCCTGCAGCGTCAGCCCTGAGCTCACCCGTGGGTGAACCCGCTGATGAGCACGGCGCCCCTGATCCGTCACCTCCACAAATACGAGAACCTAGGGGCACTTTCACATCTAAAGTGCAGCAGAGTCCGGCTTTACAATGCTTTCTTGGAAACAGTAGTGAAACCCTGTGACAATGACCGGACGTGTTTTGTACCTAACTTACATAATATTTGGACTTTTAAGTTATTCTTATTCAAATAGAGAAAATAATATTTTAAATGACTGCAAAAACAATTCATTCATCTTTACAAACTTCAACATCCATTTCAGTTTTTCAATGACTTTTGATTAATAAAATTTTTCAATATTTATTTATGTAAAAGCTTCCCCATAACATCATTATAGAAATGGAAAGCTTATTCTTCAAATACTCAAGAAATTATAGATTATGGGCCAGTGTTGTAGTTCAGTGGCACAGAGCCTGCCTGGCAAGTGCAAGGCCCTGAGTTTGATTCTCTGCACCAAAAAAAAAAAAAAAAAAGGAATATAAATTATAATCCTATAAAAAAGTCTTATCAGTGTAAGACACAATATTTCAGTTCAGTTTTTCAACTGCAAAAATAGATTAGAAAGGAAATTTGATTGACCTAAATATAAAAATTACAGATATATTCTGAAAATTTAGAGAGAACAACTCATAAACAATATAAGTGGCCAGCACACACATTTATGTGGATGAGTAGGACGGTTCACTCCATAACATACACATTCATAATACATCAGCATTTTGCAAAGGGAAGATTTTACAAGCTACTATTTTGCTTTAATAATCTGGAAAATAAAATTCATTTACATTTTCCCATTCATATAGAAGTCATTTCATGTTATAAACATTTATCATTTTTATTAATTAACACATAAATGAAATTTTTAAAAAATGCACTGCAATGTAGTAGCGTCACGCATAAAACTTGGTCATGCAAGTTTTGCAGTTTATTCTGCCCAGGTTTTTCTGGAGTTGTGGAAGTTAATTTTCATCCACAAATACAGGATATCTGAGGGAAACTTAATCAGAAACTTCAGTGATAAACCCTTAACCTGGCAGTCCTAGAAACGATCTGTTCTTTATGTTGATTTTTTACTTTTAAACTCTTGGCTTTGAAACAGTTTCAGATTTTCAGAAGAGTTGCCCAAACAGTAGAGCCAGGTCCCAGACAGCCCTCCCCCAGCCTCCTGGAGGCTGATGACTGAATAACGGCTGAAGATTTGTAACGTTGCTGAGGCAGCTCACCTCCCAGCCTCTCCCTCCTGTGACTGTTCCTCAGTCTCCTCCCATCTGCCACAGCCCTGATGGAGTGAAGAGTAAATGTCAGGTACACTGTGGCTTGTGGCAGTCTCCCAACCTGGGATCCCATGGTTTTCTCTCAAGACTGGACTGGATTGATTACCTGCATTTTGGGTAAACATACTATGGAAATGGTTATTTTCCATTCCCATCCCTTCTTTCATGATATGCTTTGGTATTGTTCTCTAGGGAGCATTTGTCCCCTTTTCTCCACCTACTGTTGGTGTCATCCTCCGTGTATCTCAGTATAAACCCACTGACATTTAGTCCTCACTCTCTGAGTGGACATCCCACAGTGTCGCTGTTGATTTCCAGGTGAAGCTCCTCAGTCTTTGGCTCTTTGGGGCTGTCATACCGGCTACTCTGTCCTTCTGAATGCACAGACCTTTCATTTTCCCATGCTCTTTTTCTTGCTGACCACATGTCTTCTTCTTTTTGGCTCTGATCTCTTGAATGTTCTGTCTCTGCACCACAGTCAGGCTGTCTCCAAGGAACGGACACAGTTGACTGTTGGAGTGCTGGAATGAACCACGCTGTGAAGAGAGCAGAGAGCCTGCAAGAAAAATAGGCAAACGCAAAGTGGCTGGGAGTGCTGCTTCTGGAGAGCAGCTAAGGATGAAGCCAGTGGAGAAAATGAGGAACATCGGGGATCTTCCTTTCTCTTCTGTCCTCTTCCTCTCTCGTCCTTGCCTGTCTTCTCAATGACTGATTTCTGCTTCACCTTCAGCAGAGTTGCACGAGCCCCCGGGAGCACTGTGTGGGCCTGTCAGGCGAGTCGTGGCCTGCGCTGTGTGGGCACTGGACAAGAATGTGTGCTCCACGTCAGGGGCCAGAGTCTGTCCCCACCGGCTGGACCGATTGCCACATGAGTCCACGGAAGCCCGAAAATTACTGGACTGGACTAGGGATAGAAACACAGGCTTGAAACTGTGTGACTAGCATGTCTTTTCTTTTTTATTGATTATTTCTTTTTATATAAAGTTTGTTATCCGGTGCATACAAAATATCCGTCTGGTGATTTGACCCTTCATTATAATGATCATGTTCATCAGTGCTTTTCATAATTTTTTAACTTAAGTATTTAGCTTGGTGTTCATGTTTTATGGTAGGATAGTGCTCCTAACACTTGTTTTTTGGTTTTTGATTTGTGTTTTTTTCCTATAACTATTTCCGTTCTTTTGTTTTTCATTTTATATCCTTATAAGTTTAGGTATTTCTCTTAAGCAATATGTATTTGTGACCCAGTTTGAAAGTCTTAGCTTTCATATTCAATAATTGAATTGTTTTTATTCCTAATATGTTTTCATGTTTGTTTGTCTTTTACTTCTTCCACTTAGTCTATATTTACAGTCTGTTATTTTGGGAAGACAGAGTGCAACTCTTAATTCTAATATTCCCCTCCCAGAATGTTGATAATTATATTTTTTATTTGTTATCTTAGTGAATGTGACACAAACCCATGACTTACCAGATTTAAACAAGGATTGTTTCTTTTGCCTATTCCCAGCAGTCCAAGAGCCTCTGCTTGTTGTTTTTGCTGTCACCCCCACGTTTCTCTCTGCTGATTGGTTTCGCATTCAGGGATACAGTGGCCCTGTGAAGAGGGACAAATGCAATCATTACCATGGCAAACACTTGCTGATAAAAATTCTAAAAAGGAGCAGCCCAATTCCTGAAATCTTCATGTCCCCTCTGCCCTGCTCCAGTTAGTGAGCAGAGGGGCTTCTCCTGCTGCTCCCCCGTGAGTGGTGACGGCTCTGCAGTGACCCTGGCCCAGCGTCCTGCTCCCTGGGCCCTGCGGCCTGGCCCGTCTGCCTGCTGCCTGGGCCTTGTGTCTCTGAGGCTCTTGCCTGGACTCTCCACCCTCTCTCTTTGCTCCGTTCTGAGTATTTTTTCCTAGTTGTCTCAGTTCTGTTTCCTCTCTTCTGTTATTAGGTTTCCCCTTTAAGCTCTTCAGTTCAGTTCTCTCTTTCCTTCCTGGGATTTCCCATTTCCTCCTCTAGATTCTCGAGCCCTGCTGCAGTTTCCTCAGCATAAGCAAGGTGGTCCCCAAGGCCAGGCCTGCCTGTGCTTCTGCAATGCCTAACCTGATCCCCCATTTGTGGGCCCCTTTCATGCTACTCACTTTTCTTGACAGAATATCATTCTGTTTTGACTCTCAATATCTTGTTATGTTTGGGGTGTTTCCACTGAGCCACACCCCAGGTCTGTCTTTATTTATTTAATTATTTTGAGATTCTGTCATGCTAAGTTGTCTAAATTGCCTAGAACTACATGAAGCATTAATGCATGTTATGTGTCATTACTTGTAAAATCAAAGTATGCATTTGCTTAAATAATTGTTTTCTGTAGTACTGCAGTTTGAACCCATTAAGCCATATCCTCAGACCATTTTTAATTTTTGTTTTTAAAATTTGAGATTAAGTCTCATTAAGCTGCCAAGCTGCCCAGACTGGGATGAATTGCAGTTCTCCTGCCTCAGCCTTCCACAGTGCTGGAATTGCAAGCATGCTCTGCCACCCCTGTTAGTTACGCATTATTTTTTGTGGACAGTGACTATTGGAATCTTATATATAATTCCCAATCTTGAATGATATTCTTTTCCTGCAGCAAGAGTATAACTTTTTATGTTACATGATGACTGGACCAACTGGCCCACTGGGATCAAGTTAATCCAACTAATATTGAGATTTATTTTTCCATTTTTGGGGTCAGTTTTTGTATTGTAGTAAAAGAGACATAATATCTGATTTACCATGTTAACCATCTCTAAATGCCTGGCTCCGTGGTCTTAAGAACATTCACACTACTGTGTAGCAATCGCCACTGTGAGCCTTCAGAGGTCTTCTCCTCAAGAAACCCATGTGGGCAGTGTCTCCGTTCCACTTTTCTACTTTCAGGCTTAATGTGCTTTCCAACTTTGGATATGTTCCATAAGTGGAGTCACACAGTAGTTTTCTTTTTGTGATTGGTTTGTGTTGCTGAGCACATTGTCTTTAAGTCATTCACATCACAGTGTATGCCAGTGTCC